GAGCACTGAGTGCTCTTGCAGAGGACCCAGGTTCGATTCCCAGCATCCCACATGGCGGCTAACAACCGTCTATAACTCCAGTTCCAGGGGATCCGACACCCTCTTTTAACCTCCTTAGGCATTGCACAACACAGGTGCACCTACCTACATGCAAGCAATACACACATACACATTAAATTTTAAAAAAATTTTTTTTAAGTTGTAACTTGGAAAAAAAAAAAGGGGGGGGCACTTGCCGCCAAGCCAGGACCCACATTAGCTCCAGCTAGCCTGGATCTCACTATATAGACCAGGCTAGCCTTGAACTCACAGAGATCCACCTGCCTCTGCTTCCTGAGTAGTAGGATTATAGGCATGGGCCACTATGCCCAGCAGGAGTCCTTTGTTAATAAAAGATTTTGTCATATACTGGGCATGGTGGCACATACCTGTAATCCCAGCACTTGGGAGGCAGAGGCAGATGAATCTCTGTGATTTCAAGGCCAGCCTGGTCTACATAGTGAGTTCCAGGCCAGCTGGGGCTACTGGGAAACCCTGTCTCAAAAAGATCAAAATAATAGTAACAAAATAAAATAAAAAAATAAAAAAGATTTTGTTGTATATTTGTGTATATGCATATGTGCATAACTGTGAGAGTGTATGCCATGTTGTGTGCAGATGCCCTTAAAGAGGCCAGAAGAGGACATCAGATCCCCTGGAAATAGTTATGGACAGTTGTGAGTTACCCAACAAGGGTGATGGGAACTGAACTCGAGTCTACTACAAGACAGCAAATGCTCTAAACCAATGAGTCATCTCTCCAGCTCCACCCCACCCCTGGCCCCTTTTAAAAAAGAAAAAAACAATCACAGGGGGGCTGGAGAGATGGCTCAGTGGTTAAGAACACTGGTTGTTCTTGCAAAAGACCTAGGTTTGAATCCCAGCACCCACATGGTGACTAACAACTGTCCGTAACCAGTCCCAGGGGATCCGACAGCCTCTTCTGACCTCCAAGGGCATTGCAAGGCACGGGTGCACTTACCTACGTGCAGGCAATGCACGTGTACACATAAAATAAAAATAATTTTTTTAAAAAAGTTTAAAAAAAAATCACAGGTTGTTCTTTAGCCCATACATCCAAGTGCATTCTCTCATTCTCTCTCATTCTCTCTCTCCTCTCTCTCTCTCTCTCTCTCTCTCTCTCTCTCTCTCTCTCTCTCACACACACACACACACACACACACACACACAAACGTAATAAAAATAATTTTAAAAAGGAATTACTAGTCAGGTGTAGTGATATACACCTGTAATCCCAGCACTGAGAAGAAAGAAGCAGGAAGCCCCTGAAAGTTCAAAGCCAGCTTGGTTTACATAGCAAGTTTCAGGCCAGTCAAGGCTACACAGTAAGACCCTGTTTCAAAAAGGACCAAGAGACTGAGAATGGGAATGTGACTCAACTGACAGAATTCTTGCCTAGCATTCATGAAGCCATGGACTCTATCCTCTGTATAAATCAGGTGAGGGTGTTCCAGATCAATCTGGAATATAATGATGAAACCTATCTCTAAAATAAAAAAATAGTAATTACATGACCAATGACATTAGATAAAGCTTAGCTGGTAGAGTGCTTGCCTACCATGCACAAAGCTCTGGGCTCAATCCAGCATTCTATAAAACCAAGCATGCGGGGATAGTCAAGATGATCACAAGTTCAAGAGTTCAAGATCATCCTTGGCTTCAGAATGAGTTCCAGACCAGCCTAGGCTACAGCATGAGACCATCTCAAAAAAAAAAGGGGGGGGGGGGGGGGGAGGTGGGGGGGAATGTTGGGAATGTAGCTCAGCTGGTAGAGTGCACATGCACAAAGCCCTGGATTCAATGCTCAGCACTCCTTAAAACTGGGCATGGTGGTATACACTTGCAATTTGAGCACTCAGAAGTAGAGACAGGAGGATCAAAGTTCAAGGTCATTCTTGGCTACATAGTAAGTTCCAGACCAACCTGGGCTATAGAATAGAACTATGTCCCCAAAGATAAGAGAACAGAAATTAAAGACACACACACACACAAGGGAAGAGCTGATTACATCTTGACATAACAGTGCCACAATACACAATACTTGAAACTATTCTAGAAATAAGAACCTTATTCTCCAAACCCCAAATTGGGACTTTCAGTCTGCAAAGTACCAGTCACTCTGCAGACACCAGGGCAGCCACTGAGTGATCACTTCTACACCCCTTGACAGGGCCCCAGAACTTTAGCAGTCAGTTCCTCTGCCAATGTCCTCATCCCTCCAGATGTATCCAGAACTAATCCATCTCCACACCAGCTGGCTCTTCAAGGTCTTTAGCTCTTCTTGCATCTCCATCACTCTGGGTTCATGGGGCACAAGAGGATTCAATGATGTTTGTTGAACATCTAATGTCCTCCTAGTGATGTACATCACCCTAACCATGTGTCTACGGTAGCTTGAAGAGTGGCAGAGCCATACCTGGGGGACCACTTCCATGAAATCCACTTGGTCCATGGCATCTCTAGCAATTCACTGATTTCTACGTCTTGAGAAGAACAGGCCAGAGTAAAATAAGCCTCAACCATTGCCTGACATCAAGACTATTTGAGACTCAGATAAAGCCTGCCAATCCAGTTTTTGTGGGGTGTTTTTGAGACAGGCTCTCATACATACCAGGTTGGCTGTGAACTCATCATGTAGTGAGTTCCCAAGGATGACCTTCAACTTCTGATCGTCCTACCTCTCCCTCCCAAGTGCTACAAGTATGCACCATCATGCCTAGGGTTAGGGACCCAATCTAGGGCTTCAAGCATGCTAGGTAAGCACTCTACGAACTGAGCTACAACTCCAGCTCCCCATTCATTTTTTTGTCTTTTTTTTTTTCCCCCGGTGTTTTTGAGACAGGGTCTCCCTGTAGTCCCAGCTGGCCTAGAACTCACTATGTAGACCAGGCTGGCCTAGAACTCAGAGATCTGCCTGCCTCTGCCTCCCAAGTGCTGGGATTGAAGGCCTGCGCTACCACGCCCAGCTTCCCATCCACATTTTTAAAAAATATTTTATTATTTTTATTTTATGTGTATGTGTGTATTGCCTGCATGTAAGTAAGTTCACCTGTGTTGTGCAATGCCTGTGGAGGACAGAAGAGGCCTTCAGATTCCCTGGAACTGGAGTTACAGTTAACTGCCGTGTGGGTGCTGGGATTTGAACCTAGTCTTCTGCAAGAACAGCCAGTGTTCTTAACTGTTAAGCCATCTCTCCAGCCTCACCCACATTTTTAAAGTCTTAAATACATCTTCATCCTTTTGAAGGAGCTGACTGAACTGTAATTTTGCAAAACTTTAAAGGTTTAATTTGTGAAGTTTAAAACAAGGGGCTCTGGCAATGACTGTTATGAGGAGGACTTAAGCTCCTAAATTCTTAAGATGTCACAGGAACTTAAAGAGGACAGCTTTAAGTCTTCAGCAGCTTGAGATCTGCAGAAGATACTGGTCAACTGTGGTAAGCCATGACCTGGGTAGGACTCCATGCCCCAAAGGTCATTTCATTTGCTTTACGTGGAACAAACTAAAAGCAAATGGTAGCATGTATACAACCCCTAGCTTAGGTCTGCCACAACTGATTATTTCCTCTAATAGATAATGAAACCACCAACACCTCAGCTATGCCTACCTTTTTTCCTACTGCCCACTCCAAAATCTCAGGAATGCCTTAATATATTTGCTTCTCAATACTGAAGGTGGTTGTTTCCAACCAAACTGGTATTACACAAAAAAACCCAACAAAACCCACCAGCTAATTTGATTCTGGCCTGTCATAGACAAGAATGTGGGCCAGGTGTCCTACAGTGCACTTACAGAGCAGTACACATACAGGACTGGTCCCCAAGGGCTCAAGGCTACTGGAATTCCAAAGAACTGGCTCTAATTCTAGCACAGCTTGGCATCAGCCATACCCCAGCCTCGTCCCTCCTAAGCAGCACCTCTCTTTCCTAGCTAATCCTTTTACACTGGTCATCTCCCTCTTTTTCTATAGAAGACTTGTGCAGGCTGAATCACTTTTTTGGACGGTTTTCCAGGTTTAAGCCATCTCTGTGGGTATCTGAAATTGATGTTACATCTAAACTGCAAATACATGTTTTATTTGAAAACAATCAGAAAGTAGAGGCAGCATCTCTGGCCTGGACTCCCTGAAGGCCACCTGTTTATTCTCCATTTCAAGTAAGACTTTTTAAAAATGGGCCACCTCATAAAACAAGGTGATGAGCAGTGTGGTCAATTAAAGACTACAGAATGCTGGGTGGTAATAGAGTGAGGACATCTGAGTGTGTTTTAAACTTGTCCATAAAAGTTAACACACACATTTATCACAATGAAAATAACAGGCAAAACATGAAGATTGCAAAGCATTTATTTGAAAAGGATACATTTTATCAAAACCCACTTTGCACTTTAATGGTAGTCTACATCCCACATGGTCTTTCCAGGCTCCTTAAAATGTTCTTTATCAACTACTCAAGCCTGTAATTAAAGCCACATTTTTAAGCTACATAAAGAGCCTCTTGAACCATGTCCTAAATCCCACTGCCAAATATAACGTCACTGAAATCACTCAATGGTATCAAGAACGAGCAACATCCGACGAACGGGCTGAGAAACTAAGCCCATCTCGGAGAGCCCAAAACAAAGCCAAGTGGGCAGTGAAAGTCTCCCCGTTAACCTCACAGCCCAACAGCCCCAGTCCCAGCTCCAAACACCTCCTGGCCCCTCGCTGGGCCCACTTCCTCTGCCGCCCCAGCCCGACGCTCGAAGGCGGGCCCCCGGGCAGGCTGTCTGGAGCCGGCCGGGTGGTGAGCCGCAAAGGGACCCCCGGAAAGGCGCGGCGCTTCCTGCTCGAGGCCCACCTGACCACTGTCCCGGCCCAGCCCGGCCCGGCCCGCCGCCTGCCCGAGAACCACACCCGCCAGCCGCCCACCCCACCGCAGGACGCGCCGGTGAGCGCTCACCTTCTTGCCCTTCTTGCCCTCCTCCTCCATGTCGCCGCATGCGGCCCCCGCGGCCCGCCCCGGGAGCCCCGCCGCCAGCGGCCGCTACATGCTCGCCCTGGGCCCGCCACCCCCGCGCTCGGCACCGCCTGCCCTCCCGCAGTCTCCGCCCCGGCCGCGCCCCACCCGCACTTCCGGGCCCAGGGAGCCGGCCCACCCCGCAGAGGCCCCGCCTCCAAGGCCCCGCCCCTATCTGCTGTGAGTCCGTACTTCCGGCCCGAGGGAAACGAGAGGCCCAGGAAGCCCGCCACTTCAGAAGGCGCAGGGCACACTTGCTGCGGGCGGAGAGGTCCGGCCGAGCGTGCGCCTCAGAAGAACCGGCAGCACCCCGGGAGGCCCCGCCACACCTCGGGGCCATGAAGCGCGCCTGCCCCTCGCCTCCAGTCCGTCTTGCCCCCTCAGGGAGGCGCTCCCCACCACCCAGCTCGCCCCGAACCCTTCAGGGCCGCGGGAGCGCGCGCGGGAGAGACTCCAACTTTTCAATTCTGCCGCCATCTTTAGAGAGGCCGACTTCCCAGCGTGCCTTGCGCTCACGGAGGCGGGCCTCAGGCCCTCGGGGAGGGGCGGGGCCGGATGGAGAGGGTGGGGCCAGGCTTCGGGCAAGGTGCCACTCGGCCTTCCCCTTTATTCTCAGGGCCCCCAGAAAACCCTTTTCTACTATATGTCCTGACTGGGTGTAGTGGCACACTCCTGTGTTATCCCAGTACTTGCCAGGTGTTGGCAGGAAGATCTGGAGTTTAAAGTCATCCATGGCTATTTGACATGCCTTAAAAAAATCAAAAGTACAATTGCTAACAGTAACCTCCTTAGTGTAGGCAGCCTGTCGCTCATATGGGTTTTCCTAAAGGACCTTGGAGACAGTATTATGAAGGATATTCATGTCTCTGAGCTCATGCTGTCCTCAGTCTAGGTTCCAGGCAGGTACGCATGGTGCCTTTGGGAAGCCCCAAGGTACCAGGCCATCATGTCCATCCACAATAAGGAACATGAGATTGAGGTCCTGCGCAGGGCCAAGTTTAGGTTTCTTGGCCGCCAGAAGATCCACATCTCGAAGTGAGGCTTCACCAAGTTTAATGAAAATCAGTTTGAAGACTTGGTAGCTGAGAGGCGACTCATTCCGTATGACTGTGAGTCAGATATATGCCCAGTTGTATCCTTGGACACGGGGTGGGCCTTATACTCCTGAGGGCTTCCACTGAAGTTCTGTTGAAACACCCCCCCCCCAGCAGTTATGCACACTAATCTCACATTCAAGCCTAGAAAAAAATGGGGGGGGCAGTCTTTTTTGAGACAGGGTCTCCCTGTAGCCAGCCCCAGGTACCCTGGAACTCACTATGTAGACCAGGCTGGCCACTATCTCAGGGAGATCTGCCTGCCTCTGCTTCTCAAGTGCTGGGTTTAAAGGTCTGTGCCAACAATCCAGTGAAAAAACTTACTTTAAAAAAAAAAAAAACTTTATGCACTTTGGAGGCAGAGGCAGGCAAATCTCTGTGAGTTGAAGGCCAGCCTGGTCTACATGGTGAGTTCCAGGACAGCTGGGGCTACAGGAAGTCCCTGCCTCAAAAAGACCAAAAAAACAAACAAAAAAAAAACTTTATGCCTTTATGCTTTTATCTTACCTTTGACAACATGAGGGAAGTAGAATCACAACAGCAAGGATGTTCAGGCTCCGCCAGAGGAAAGTAGAACCTTAACAATAATAGAATAGAATTACCACATGTCACAGAACAGGTTCAGAGAATCGGGTGATTTACCCAAACCATGCTGTAGCCCAGCATTACCAGAGGGCCTCTATTTTGCACATTAAACCAAGCCGCAGTAAAGACTTGCTGATAGATAGTAAATTGATACTAAATGAAACCACTATTTCTCTTAAAATACTGGATAATTGTTAATTGTCAATATACTGTATCTTGGGGCTGGAGAGATGGGTTCCCAACATCCAAGTGATGACTAACATCTGTCTATAATTCCAGTTCCAGGGGATCTGACACCATCTTCTGGCCTCTGCTGGCATTGCATGACATCACAGGTGCACTTACATACATTCAGACAAAACGCTCATACACACACACACACAGTCTCTTGGCTCCACATGCACTTCTCATTTCCTGCTCTGAGGACTTGGATGGAGCTGGTTTTTTAACCATTCCTTCTTTGCCAGAAGAAAAGGTGTTAGGCACTGTGAGAGGCTTTGCCACCTGCTCTTGACAGACACCTGCAGGATGAGAAGCATATATAGATTAATATATACATATTCCCCACCACTGGCTCCTCCCATATCAAGGGCAGCTTCCTCAGTTTCACATTTTCTGCAGTTCATCAGCTTCCCTAACACCCAGCTCCTGCGGTGCCAGGCTGCCAGCAGCATAGAGCCACTAACACTTTCTTTAGCATCTCCCTTGGGAAGTTTTATGTCTAAGTGCTTTAAAAGACACTTGCCCAGGAGCAGCCCATTCATGGCGCACTAGTTCTACCAGGACTTGTCAGTCAGCATTCTAGTTTGTTTTTCTGTTGCTGTGATAAATACTGTGACCCAAAACAACCCATACATGCAACAGGCTGCAGTTACCACAAAGGAGGTGGCTCTTAGCAGCCACTACACTTTTTTTTTTTTTTTTTTGAGACAGGTAGCCATAGATGACCTTGAACTCCTGATCTTCCTGCCAACATCTGACAAGTGTTGGGATTACTCAGGAGTGTGCCCCCATGCCCAGACAGAAGAGAAAAATGAAAGGGTTTATTTGGCTTACAGGGTAAATTTCATCATCCAGGGAAACAAGCACAGATGCTCAAGGTAGGAACTTGGAGGCAGAAACGGAAGCAGGGGCTCGAAAGATGGCTTAGCAGTTGGGAGCACTTGCTGCTCTTTCAGACGACCTGGGTCTCGTTCTCAGCATCCATATGGTGATTAACACCCATCCTTAACTCCAGTTCCAGGAGATCCAATGCCCTCTTCTGGCCTCTGCAGACATCAGGCACACACATGGCACACATACAGGCAAAATACACACATAACATTTTAAAAATTATTTTTTGGCCTTTTTGAGACAACATTTCCCTGTAGCCTGAAACTCACTATGTAGACCAGGCTGGCCTCAATCTCATAGAAATCCTCCGCCTCTGCCTTCCAAGTGCCGAGATTAAAGTCCTGTACCACCATACCTGGCCAAATAAATACAATCTTTAAACAAAAAAGAGAAAGAAGAAAGACTGAAGCAAAAACAATGGAGGAACACTGCTTACTACTGGCTTGCTCCCTCTGACTTCTCAGCTAGCTTGCTTTCTTTTTTTTTTTCTTTTGGTCTTTTGAGACAGGATCTCCTGTAGCCCCAGCTGGACTGGAACTCACTACTTACACCAGGCTGGCCTTGAACTCACAGAGACCCACCTTCCTCTGCCTCCAGAGTGCTGGGATTAAAGGTATATGCCACCATGTCCAGCTCACCTAGCTTCTATATACAGCCCAGGCTCACCTGCCTAGGGATAGCACTGCCCACAGTGGATTGGGCCCTCCTACATCAATTAGCAGTTAAAAAAATGCCCCACAGACATGCTCACAGGTCAATGTAATCTAGGAAATTCCTCAATTAATGTTCCCTCTTCCCAAGTGACTTTCGTTTGTGTGGAACTGACAGCCGAAGCTATGACTTTCAGTGAGCTGTGTCTATGCTCTCTCCAAGATCTGGGACTTTGCCTTGGGGTAGAGGGTCTTCCTTATCTCAGTCTTTGAAGAGTAGCTGCCCCTTATATTTACTATTCTCATCATCTTTAGTCCCTAGTTGCCCCAGTCTTCTGCTACAACTAACAGTTCTTTGGAGGAAGGCACAAAATCTCACTGCAGAGCCCTCGATCACAGGCATGAGCTACCAATAATTCTTTATTGTATTAAACCTTTCCTTTACTGTGTTTCTGTCGGATCTCTCTCCGACAGGTCCGGCACAGGGAGGGAGGCCAGGACCAGCCTGTGTTCCTCTCTTAGGGCCTGAGCGGGATGGTGAGTGTTGGCGACTCAAAAACCACACACGCTCCTTTATGTTATGCACACACATCCTCTCTGAACATTGTCATTTTAGCAATCTTGAACCCCCCACCTGCACTGCTCTACCCATATACCCCTATCTAAACAATAGTATATTTATCCGCCCCTAACAACAATGAAATTTAAACAGATTCTATTCAAATATATTGCTAAAGCATCCTGGTACAGGGTAGGGGACACAATCCAGTGTGAACTAGTTTTGAGTGTGTGCACAAAACCATGTCCTCACTTTTAGAGAGAACCCCTATTTACTGTCTTATGCTTAGGCATAATTCGGCATGCACATGATTAAAATATAAGATGCATTATGAGAAGAGACACGCAGTAAAAAAATGATTATATGATCTATCAGTCAAAATAGAGAACTGGCCATGCTATTCCCCTTAGGAACAAAACTCTTCCCTTCTCTTGAACCCCTTAAAAGGAAGCCCCAAACATTGATGGGGGCCCTCATGTACTCTCACTTATGTGGCCCTCTGTAATCTGTACTATAGCTTTGCACTGAATAAAGTTATCTTGCTTCTTTTGGAAATGTGTGAGCCCTTATTTTCCATTCTTTGGGTAAGGGGCCAAGAACCTGGAAACACCTGCCACAGCCACCAGTAACAGACCCATTTCCTTTTTATTGGTTTGTCCATGTTTTATTATCAGGAACAGTAGGCCTCAGATTCTGGTTATAAGACCAAAGAAATCTTTGGTCTCTAGCATTCCTCAAAGACAAGCATATTTTCACTCTTACATGGAACAGATGTGGGAAACACAGCTCCAATTTTCCTTATGCAATAATCCAGTTCCCTCCTTTCATAGACACAAATGAAAGAGTGCATTTAGTCTCCCACCATGCTTACAGCCTTTCTACATTTATCACTCTGGTTGTTTCTTCTTGTGTTGTTGTTGTTTTGAGACAGGGCTTTATATAGTTCAACCTGGCCTCTAACCCACTAAGTAGCCAAGGATGACCTTTTTCTTTTTTTTTTTTTTTTTTTTTTTTTTTGGCTTTTTGAGACAGGGTCTCCCTGTAGCCCCAGCTGTCCTGGAACTCACTATGTAGACCAGGCTGGCCTTGAACTCACAGAGATCTGCCTGCTTCTGCCTCCCAAGTGCTGAGACCAAAGGCGTGCACCACCATGTCCGGCCTGCTTTTAATATTTTTACATTTATTTATGCAATCTGTGTTTGTGTGTGCACATGCGTGCACGCGTGCATGTACCCTTTGACTTTCTCAGATGACTCTACCCTCTGTAGCCACTTCAGATGTTCCTAGTGCAGTCTGTGAGGAAATGCACCCCCCCATCCCATCCCCATCCCATAATGATGGGGCAGGCAAGCCCAGGGCACCTGCACAGACGGGCATGGTTATGCAGAAAGTCTGTGGTTCGCAGGCAGGAGACTGTAACGTGTGGACCTGCCCTTTTTGTCTATCTATATAGGAGGTACCCCTACTGGGCCTGCTGGGTTCATGCCTGTAATCTCAGCACATAGGAAGCTGAGGCAGGAGGATTGATGTTTTTGTTTTGGTTGTGAGTTTTGTTTTTTTGAGACAGTCTTACTATGTAGCCCTGGCTGGCCTGGAACTCACAATGTAGGCCAGGCCTCCAACTCACAGGGATCTGCCTGCCTCTGCCTCCGGAGTGCTGGAATTAAAGGTAAGTGCCTCCACACCTGACGTTTGATCTGAGTTTGAGACCAGTGTGGGCTACTCAGTGAGTTCCAGTTCACATAGAGCAAGAACTTGTCTCAAAATACCAAAAATGAATGAATGAATAAACAAACACAACACTCCTGTCACCCTCCTTGGGTCAATCCGGGGAGGCCTCCACTGTATACCATAGTATAAATCCTAACAAAGCCACTTTGGATGATTTTATTTTGCCAATTCGTGATTTCTAAAGTAGTTCTTGCTCTGCCACATAGTGAGTTCAAGGCTAGCCTGGGCTACACGAGCGCTTGTCTCAAAAAAACTAACCGATGTAACCTGCCTACCTGATGTTTCTATGATAGATTTGAAAAGTACCTTGATTTATGAATTATTTTATCCTGTTAACTATTTCTATGATCATATTTGGAGCTGGCATATTCTGGTTTCCTACAGGTGTATGCCTGAAAAGAAAATTAGCAATTTGGTCCTGGAACGACTGTTTTAGACAAGAAGACTTGCAACATTTTGTCAACACGAAATAATGACTCCACTTTAAAGGAAATAAGTCATTTATTCTGAGACAAATCTGAATGACCATGACTGAGGAACATGGATTTAAACTATCCTGAATGACATGGTCCATCGTGGAGGAACTTTTATAGTGACAGAACACAGAAATCCTTAAATCAACACATTTACCAGTTACAGTGGTGGGAGCATCAAGTAGGCCAGCTACAGCAAAGTACATAAATCTCCTTTGTTTCAGATATCATGTCATTCTTAGCCTGAGAATAGTGGAAGCTGGATTTCTACTAAGCTTAATGATAGTTAGGAGAATGTTAGGTCAAATACAGAGGCTGGATGTAAGTGGCTGTTAAAAAGACTAAAGTGCGGCTGGAGAGATACTTCAGCAGTTGAGAGCTCTTGTTGCTTTCCCAGAGGACCAGAGTTCAGTTACCAACACCCACATAGGGTGGTTCACAATCACTTTAACTCCTGCTTCAGGGTATCTGACACCCCCTTCTGGCCTTCAAGGGCACTGCATTCATGTGCATAAACCTACAAACACATACACATAAATAAAAAAGAAAAAGGACTAAAGATAGCCCAATATAATTTTTCCACCCGATCTGAACATTCCATCTCTCCACAATATGGTGTTCTAGTCAGTTGAAACATGTGGACTCTTCATTACAGATGCGGCTCCAGGGACCTTCAGGTCACAGTTGCTCCACTTGGGTGCCATATAGGGTGGCTGTGCTTCTGAGGGACCATAATGATTCAGAGATGGTTTTCTTTTGTACTTTAAAATATTTTTATTTTAGCCAAGCGTGGTGGCACACACCTTTAATCCCAGCACTCAGGAGGCAGAGGCAGGAGGATCTCTGTGAGTTCAAGGCCAGCTTGGTCTACATAGTGAATTCCAGGACAGCTGGAGCTACAAGGAGACCCTGTCTCAAAAAGACCAAAAATAAATAAACAAATAAATGAATAAATAAATAAATACCAGCACTTGGGAGGCAGAAGCAGGTGGAGCTTTGTGAGTTCGAGGCCAGCCTGCTCTACATAGTGAGTTCCAGGACAGCTGGGGCTACAAGGAGACCCTGTCTCAAAAAGACAATAAACAAACAAATAAATAAATAAAATATTTTTATTTTATGTATATAATGTTTGCTTTGCTTGCATGTATGTAAGTACACCACATGCATGCCTGGTCCCTGTTGTGGCCAGAAAAGGTTATTGGAACTGGAGTTACAGATGGGTGCCTACAGCCATGTGGGTGCTGGGAACCAAAGAACCAGGGTCCTCTGCAAAAGCAGTAAGTGTTCTTAACCAATAAGCTATCTCTCTAGCCCCTTTCATGATATTTTATACCCAGAAACTAGATGATACTAATTCATTAAGACTTCACTCTAATTGGCTAGAAAGGGACTGAGCACTTCATTAAGTAAATGTGGACTTATCTTGTGCATAGTACATCTCTAAGATGATCTAATTTGAATTTTTATTTTTTATTTTTTGAAACAGGGTCTCATGTGTCCCAGCTGATCTCAAACTTATGATGTAAGTGAGATGACCTGGGATTACAGGCATGGGCTACCATGTCCAGTTTTCTGTGATCCCAGGGATTGAACCCAGGACTTAAAGCATGCTAGGCAAGGACACTACCAACTAAGCTATAGCCCCTCATGATAAAAAGTGACTGACAAGTGCATTTTAAAATCTTTAAAATTACATTTACTTATTTAGCACGTGTGTGTGTGTGTGTGTGTGTGTGTGTGTGTGTGTGTGCATGTGGAGGTCGGAGGACAACTTGTCAGAGTTGATTCTCTCCTTCCACCATGTGGATCCCAGGGCTTGGTGCCTTTACCCACTGAGCTACCTTGCCAGCCTGGCAATGTAGTTTTTGCAGCTTAGAGTCAAGTGAATAGCTCTTGTCATCCCAAGAAATTGAAAGACTGGGCTTCAAATTTCTGGACAACTACATTTTACAGAGATGGCTCTCAACTGGGCCTAGTGGCACATGCTTGTAATCCTAGCTATTTGGGAGACAGGATTGCAAGTTCAAGGTCTGCTTGAGCTACAGAATGAGTTTAAAGCCAGACTAGAACTGGAGAAATGGCTCAGCAGTTAAGAGCACTTGCTGCTCTTGCAGAGGACCCAGATTTGGTTCCCAGCACCTACATGGTGGCTAACAACCATCTATAACTCCAGTTCCAGGGGATCTGTTGCCCTCTTCTGGCCTCTTTAGGCACTGCATACACATGATGCCCTTATATACATGCAGGCAAAACACACACACATAAAATAAATAAGCTGGGCATGGTGGCTCACACCTTTAGTCCCAGCACTCGGGAGGCAGAGGCAGGCAGATCTCTGAGTTCAAGGCCAACCTGGTCTACATAGTGAGTTCCAGGCCAGCTGGGGCTAAAGGGAGACCCTTTCTCAAAAAAGGAAGGGAGGGAAGGAGGGAGGGAGGGAGAGATGGAGGGAGGGAAGGAAAAGGAGGGAAGAAAGAAAGAAAGAAAGAAAGAAAGAAAGAAAGAAAGAAAGGAAGGAAGGAAGGAAGGAAGGAAGGAAGGAAGGAAGGGAAGGGAAGGAAGGTAGGCAAGGCAACTGATATTTCCAAAAAATAAAAAAGCCACACCTCTACTAAAGACTTTAAAGCTGATTAGAACTTGGTGATTCTGGGGAGTTGAAATGTTGCAAATCCAAAGTCAAATTATCTTGGTTTATCCTTAGCTCTTTTTAAAAAAAATATGTTTTAAACATTTCATTATTTATTTTTTATTATTTTCACTTTATGTGTGAGTGTATTGCCTGCATGTATATGAGTGTACCTATTACTTATTTTTTGTATTTTATTATTTTTACTTTATGTGTATGAGTGTATTGCCTACATGTATGTGAGTGTACCTGTGTTGTACAATGCCTCAGAGGTCAGAAGAGGGCTTTGGATTCCCCTGGAACTGGAGTTAAGGACGGTTTGTAGCTGCCATGTGGGTGCTGGGACTCGAACATGGGTCCTCTGCAAGAGCAGTCAGTGCTCTTAACAGCAGAGCCATCTCTCCAGCCCCTATCTTTAGCTCTTTTTTTATGAGTGTTATGCCTGCATGTAGGTAAGTGCACCCATGTTGTGCAATGCCTGTGGAGGACAGAAGAGGCTGTTAGATCCCCTGGAAATGGAATTATGGACAGTTGTTAGCTGCCATGTGGGTGCTGGGATTTGAACCCAGGTCTTCTGCAAGAACAGTGTTCTTAACCGCTGAGCCATCTCTCCAGCCCTCTTTAGCTCTATTAGTAGCCATTCATTACCCACCTCCAAGTCTGACTGAGCATATTTGTGACTATTACATGAAACCTTTTGGAATATGTTTAAAGACCACTAGGTTCTACCAACCCCAAAGCTAACCTACTTATCTACCAATAAATTTGGTAATTGTCTTGATTTACGACTTTTTTTTTTTTGTCTTTTTGAGACAGGGTGTCCCTGTAGCCCCAGCTGTCCTGGAACTCACTATGTAGACCAGGCTGAGCCTTGAACACCCAGAGATCTGTCTGCCTCTGCCTCCCGAGTGCTGGGATTAAAGGTGTGCACCATCATGCCTGGCGATTTAGGATTTTCTTAAAATTTATTTTTATGTGTTATGCCTGCATGTAAGTGCACCCCTGTAGCGCAGTGCCAGCAGAGGACAGACCAGAGCATCAGAGGCCCTGGAACTGGAATTACAGACAGTTGTTAACTGCCATGTGCGTGCTGGGATTTGAGTCAGGTCTTCTTCAAGAGCAGCCAGTGCTCTTAACTGCTGAGCCCTCTCTCTGTCCCCAACTTTTTTTATTTTTTTGATCTTTTTGAGACAGGGTGTCTCTGTAGCCCCAGCTGGCCCAGAACTCATTATGTAGACCAGGCTGGCCTGGAACTCACAGAAATTCGCCTGCCTCTGCTTCAGCAGTGCTGGGATTAAAGACGTGCCCCACCATGCCCAGCTGGCCATAAACGTAACCATTAAAGATTCTTTTTTTTTCCCCGGTCTTTTGGAGACAGGGTCTGCCTGTAGCCCCAGCTGACCTGGAACTCGCTATGTAGACCAGGCCTGCCTCTGCCTCCCCAGAGCTGGGATTAAAGGCCTGCGCCACCACGCCTGACTAAAAAGATTCTTATGCTGCCTGTTTCTCCAGCACTTAGCAAATTCATGAAGCACTCCCTGCCAAAGAACTAATACATATTTGAAAAGGATAGAAAAAAAAAAAATCCTGAAAGGCGTGATCACGGTTTTCCTAGGACGTATAAACCCCTCTAACTTGTATTAGCTTTTCCAGCCGCATCAGTTTCCCAAGTGTTAATCCATCCCCCAAAGCCCAGCTTCCAGCTTCCAACTTCCCCAGACCCCGACTCCGCCCGCCCCTACGGGACAATCTAGGCGGCCTGGGCTCCTTCCCGGCCGCCTGGGCTCCATCCGATCTCAGCCCTTGGCCGTGGCACCCCGAGTCACCAAAGGGACAGAGAAGGTGGCTCCACGCCGCTGAGGATCACAGGGCCAGAGGACCGCCCCAACACCAGATACCGCCAGCCCTGCGCAACACAGCCTGCACACGAGGCCACGCCCCGGCTGCGTGGGCTGCGTGATGATGTTAGCACGCATGTGCAGTTGGTAGCTATGGTGACGTTGTTACGGCACGGAGGTGCGTGCGCAGCTCGTAGGTATGGCTGGCGGTTCTTGGTCCACCCCAGGTGTGGCCCCTGAGCTTTCTTCATCCGCCGTCATCACGGATCCCGGATGATGTCGTGCTTTTCTAAGTCTGGGTAGGAGCCGTAGGGTTCGAGGGCGGGCGGCGGGAGGCCGGACTGCGGTGGCGTAGGGATGGCTTCCCCAGCGGAGACACGTGGCCACGGGTTCTCTGAAGCCGTGCTTCCCAGGGGATGGGGCGAACCTTAGCTAGCCCTGCTGAAGCACTCAGGGTGGCCCGAGGGGCACCCCGTGGATGGACGGGACCTGAGGCCTCGTGGGAGGCCCACCTCTAGAGATTCCGTCGGGGTGCGGGGAGGAGGAGGCGTTTTAGGGGCTAGAACTGGGGCGATAGGCGCAGGCTGTCCCCCTTCCAGATTCGGGTCGTGGCCAGTGGAGGGGCCCACCGAGCGGAATGGTTGACTGGCAGCTCTTCTGGGTGACGCACAGGTAAGCCACATCGTGAAGACTGAGCGCTGCCTTTCTGGAACGGAGCCCTCGTTTCTCTGAACCATTATAGAGCTTCTTAATATCTTGTTCTGTATCCCAGCGGAGAGGAGAGTAAGGACGGAAAGGCGGTTTTTGTTTAGATCTGTTCTAAGGATTAGTTCTGTGGTCATGCCAGTAGGAACATTACCTCTTCTATAGTGCCTTTCTTTCCCTTACTTCTTCAACTGAAACTAAAGTTCCTGAGAGTAATCTGGTGTCCCTAGAACCAAGCTCATCACCTCCAGGACTGATGACCTCCTCAGTTCCCCGGGGGCTGTGGTTGGTGCCCAGAGAGAGTGCTGTGCTGGATATCCGGGGTATGGGGGATTTGAGGGATGTGCCTAGCAAGCCTCCAGCGTGCTTGGGTCTGCAGTGACCCTGTGCATTCCTATAGTGCTTGCCAGAACAGTTTTGGAATGGTTTGAGGCCTTGCCCTGCTCTCTCCAGAGCAAGGTTATAGAAATTTCAGACAATTGCTGTACCCCCTTGTGTAGATTGTATGAATCTTCCCTGTCTAATGTGGCAGGCACTTGCCATGTGGTTAAATTACAAGTGAATAAAATTTAGAACCCACTTTTTAAAAATTTGTTTTATCAATTGAACCCAGGGCCTCGTGCATGCTCAGTTCGTTCTAGCCACATAGTAGGTACTCAGTCATGATCAGCAAGTGATTACTGGACTATGGATTAAGAGACCATGTCTGGAGCCGGGTGTGGTGACCCACCCCTTTAATTGCAGCACTTGGGAGGCAGAGGCAGGTGGATCTCTGTGAGATTGGGGGCAGCCTGGTCTACATAGCGAGTTCAAGGCCAGCTGGGGCTACAGGGAGACCCTGTCTCAAAAAGACCCCCCCCCCCAAAAAAAAAAAGATCACATCTGTGCAGTTTTGAACAGCACTGGTACAGAGGCAAAGGAAGTCATTGAATGTTTTCCAGACAGTATAAATTATGTTCTTAAAAGAACTACAAAAGGGGCTGGAGTCATCACTCAGGTTAAGAGCGCATACTGCTCTTCAGAGGATCTGAGTTCAATTTCCAGCAAGTGATTACTGGACTATGGATTAAGAGACCATGTCTGGAGCCGGGTGTGGTGACCCACCCCTTTAATTGCAGCACTTGGGAGGCAGAGGCCTTTAACTCTAGCTCTTAGGGGATCCAATGCAAAATATGTCAGAATTTTTAAAAGGTCAGAAATATAACTCTGGGCCTGGTGAGAAGCCCAGTCAGTAAAGTGCTTGCCTGGCAACCTGAGTTGGATCCCCAGTTCTCAAAAGCCAGGCATGGTGGCATGTGTATTCTGACCCCAGGGATGGGGAAGCAGAGACAGGTGGATCCATGGTGCTCATTGGCCAGCTAGCCTAGCCTCATCATAAGCCCCAAGATAACAACACTCTGGAGGCAGAGGCAGAGGCAGGTGGATCTCTCTGAGTTCAAGGCCAGCCAGCTGGGGCTACAGGGACACCCTGTCTCAAAAAGATGGGGGCGGGGGGACTAGGCAGATGTCACTTGAATGATACCCAAGTTTGACCTCTGGCTTCCATGTATGTGTGTGTTTCATATATGCATGCACTTCAGAGGCGTGGTAAAGGTGGCAATAAAGGATGTTTGCTTTAGAAGACAAAAACCAAGAAAATTCAGGGTTCAATTATGCTGATACACAGCCAGGTGAGTGTAACAATTCCTAAGGAGTCTTCAGGGCAGAGGAGAGCATTGTTGTCAGTTGGAGACCTTTTTTGATTTTGAGACAGGGTCTCCCTGTAACCCAGCTTGCCTGGAATTCGTTTTATAAACCAGACTGGCCTCCACCTCAGATACGCCTGTCTCTGCCTCCGAAGTGCTGCAACTAAAGGCATGTGTGCCTTTTTTTTTTTTTTTTTTTTTTTTTTTTTTGTGAGGCAGGGTTTTGTGTAGGTGAGGATGACCTGACCTCTTGATCCTCCTCCTGCTTTAATCTCCCAAGTGCTGAAATTACAAGGGTATGCCTCTGTTGTTTTACCTATGGGTGTGCCAAGTGTACCACATGTATGTAGTGCCCATGGAGGCCAGAAGAGGGTGTTAGAGCCCCCTGGAACTTGGGGTACTGGTTATCTGTAGCCCTACGTCCCAGCCTCTTTAATAGGGTGCTAGACATGGGGCAATGAGTGGAATCTAGGAGAGGGTGGGAAGTTTGGGTTGGCATGAATTGCCATGTTCTTATGTTGGTATGTGGGGTAGATGACATGGAAAGTTGCCAGCTTACTCAATGCCTGAAGGGCAAAGCTGTGTTTGGTGGAGGATCATCTCAATCATCTCTGGAAGGTCGAGGCTTCCAGCTAATTGATTCTTCCTTCGGTCCAGGAAATCCCACGATTCTAGAACTAGAAGGGAGCTGAGGCCATTGCTGCATTGGTTGGCAGGCTGTTGTGTGGAATTTCTGCCAGGGTAAGTATACAGAAAGGCATACTGTCGGGTCACTTCTGTTGGGTATACTTGGTTTATAAGTCAGGTGATTGACTCTCAGAAGGGTTAACTGTTGAAGCTCCTAGACTTGCGTGTGTCTGTACCCCTGGGGCCCTGATTCTTGGGGATGACATTGCCTCTGTGGTTTGTTTTCAGCTACGTGAGGTCATGGTGTGTCTAGCTGCACTGGGTGTGGGCTACTGCAAAATGTGGGCCACAGGCTTCTTGGCTCACTGGGGGTGTGGTCAGGAACTTGGGTTTTACTTTATTTCCCTTACAGCAGTGGCATTCATCAAAGCCCTTGGTTGTGCTGTCACTGATTTTTTTTTTTTTTTTTTTACTGCATACCTTGGTGTTGCTAATCTTTTTACAGATGAGGACCTGGATACTGAGAAATGAGAGGTTCAGGTGTGTTGATACAAAGGGGCAGCCTTGAAGCCTCATTTGCCTCCCCTTCTAGAAGGAATCGGCAGTTTCTGGTCCTTGGCCTAGGCTGGTATGTCTCAGGACCCATGCTGCACATCTCACAGACATCTGCTGACCCCAGATTTGGGCCTTGTGTCCTTTGTCTTTTGAATAAGGAACCTGACTCTGCCTCAGGCTTTTCTGACACTGAATATAATTTTTTTTTTTTTTTTTAAAGGATTTTGGAGCCAGCTAGAGTGAAGTGGAAGCATGAAGATCAGGAGATCAGGTCAGCCCTGAGTTTGAGGCCAGCCTGAGCTACATGAGACCCTGTCTCTAAATAAATAAATAATAAATAAATAAATACAGCTTTAACTATGATGCATCTCAGCCTGTTTCTTTCCATCTTCCAAAGAGGTTCTGCCCCTCTAACATTCTCAGTCCTTTTGTACTTTGTTTTGTTTCTGAGTCATTATGTAGCCCAGGTGGCCACTTGAGTGCTGAGATTGCAGGCATGTCCCACTGCATGCCTGCCTGTGCTTTGAGAATGGCCACTTGGAACTTGTTGACTACTTCACACCTCAGGACTAAGTGGAAGTGATGAGCTACAGAGGAACTGGATCTTGAGACCCTGTAGATTCCAGTAATACTTGGGCCTTGGCTGATGGAATGCTCTATCTCTTCTCTTAAGTGTCAGAATCAAACAGGAAAGCCTTTAAACAAGTGGTGTTCCCTAGGAATCTCCTGTTCAGTTGGAGGAACAGCACAGCTCACCCATAGCAGTGCCCGTAGGCTAGCTGCAAATTTAGCCAGTGAGGATACAGTAAGATCTTTTATTAGGAATAGTGAATGGAACAGTACCCAAAAGTACCAGCCCCCATGTCCCTGTCCTAAATACCAAAACGAGACTGTCGGAAGTATGAATAACGAGACTGTCGGAAGTATGAATTCTCTTGTTGGGGAGTAGGTTATAGACCCACTGAGCGAGCAGTCACCAAGTCTTACAGCCAAGGGTATTGGGTAACTTACCAGGGGGTTTGGGGTGGTATGGCTCTGCCTCATTGGTCTCTGCCCTCAATTCCCAGAGGTAGTAGGCTCAGGAGAGCTGTGTAGGCTGTGGATCCAGGCAGGATTTCAGAGCATATTGGAGCCATTTTCTATAGCTGGCCCAATAGTGCATCCTATATCTTCATATGTAAAAGTGAAAATCAGGCAGTGATTCTAGTTGTGTAGGGGAAATGGCAAGAAATGTTCTGCCAGGACTAATTGCTGCAGAGACCAGAAGCAGACTAGCTTTGGGGTTTTGGGGAAGGCAGCCACCTCATGCTGGGAACCCCCTGTGGTGGGTGGCCATTTGAAACTGAGTTATCTAGACTTAGAGGAAAATTGCCTGGGTTTCCTTAGTCCCCAGCAGACTTGTGTGGGTGGTGACCCCACCCTACTGTCCTGGTCTAGTGTTTGCTGTGTGCTCTGCGGTCTGATCTTAACATGGATCATGCCCTGGGGAAGCTGTAAGTAGCCACCATTAATCCAGAGTGATCAGCCATTCCCTTCACTCAAAAGGAGCCTCTGGAAACAGTGCTAGAAGAGCCCAGAGGTTTGTTCAATCCAGGAATGAATTTGTGATGTCATCCCCCTTGGTTTCAATTGTGTGAAATTAGCAGTAACTCCTGGAAAGGTCATGGGAGCCAACGAAACCAGGGGCATGGTTATGCAAATCCTCAGGGTGGGGGCGGTTTAGTCGTGTTTATGGTGGTGATGAAACCGAGGTCTAAAGCTCCACCCATGCACCAATCTGACCTAAGAATGGTCTTGGCATTTCTAAGTGGTTAGAATAAGAAAAACCCAAAAGAATACTATGTCATAACAGGTGAACATTTTTTCAAGTACAGATTTTAGTCTCAGGCTTTACTGGAACTCAGCCACATCGATTCTCTAAGTCAGTAGGAAGTCCCAGGTCTTTTTGAGTGCCTGGGAGTTTGGGAAGTGAAACTCAAGAGTAGTAAGGGTGGGAGTCCCCAACACTGGAGATTAGGTTGGGGAAACCCTTCCAAAGCACCACCCCAAGAGGCTGAGGTGGGGTGGGGCGGATGTAGCTTGGAGCTTGTCTAAAAGCCCTAGACTGTGGAGCCAGAGCCTTGTTAATGGATCTGGGGCATTTGGGGCCTGTGGTTCATCTTTTTTTTTTTTTTTTTTTTAAGAATTAAAAATGTTTTATTCAAATTATATCTATATATTTTTTAAATAATTTATTGAGAATTTCATACATGCATATAAGGTGTTTTGACCAAATCCATGCCCACTCCCTCCCCTTCAACTCCTCCCATATCTCCCCATCACTTTTTTCTGATAATTTCATGTACTCTTTTATTTTTTTAAAATGAGGCTTTTGGCTACTCTAACATTCCCGCCTCTGAAGAGGTAACCCTAAAATATTTTAAGGATTAGATAAAAGTTCCCAAATGCTTTTGACATTTTTGGTCTTTGGAACAGAGTATGTTGCTAAGAGGCCCAAGGACATTGTGACTTTTAGCCAAGAAACTACTTTTCTTTGGGGTCTTTTTACCCTAGCTGCCTAGCATTTCCTACCTCCTATTCTTATCACACCATCCTCTGAAGAGGTTACCCAACTTGCGGATAGGAAATCGAGACATATACTGCTCTGGCTTCTTCCATGCTGAACAGGGATGCAGGGTGAGGCAGAGTACCCCCTCAGTGGGTCGATCTAAAAGACTCCCAAATTGTATAACTTATCACCACGTGGAGGCAGGATCCAGGCACTCTCAGGCAGTCCCCTGCATTCTCAGCCCCTATGCCAGAGGGAGGCCAGAACCCCACACTCTGGCAGTCTGCTGAGAGCACAGCTGTATCAGAGCCCACCCTCTCCATGGTTCATCTTATGATACTGGCTTTTGCCAGATATCAGATATGAATTTATGATTTCCTTTGGTATGTTACATTTTAAGGCATTTGAGAGGAAAACAAACAATTTGCATTGTCAATTTTTTCAAAATTGAGAGCTGGGCGTGGTGGTGCACTCCTGTAGTCCCAGCACTTGGGAGGCAGAGGCAGGCGGATCTCTGTGAGTTCAAGGCCAATTCTTTTAAAAGGCCATGTTATGGGGCTGAGAGATGGTCCAATGGTGAAGAGCACTTTCTGTTCTTGCAGAGGACTGAGTTTGGTTCCTAGTACCCACACTAGGTGGCTCACAACGGACTATAACTCCAATTTCAGGGCATCCAATACCCTCTTCTGTCCTCTTCTGTCTTCTACCAACGCCCCCCCACACATGCTCACACACATAAATACATAAATACATAAAATAAAAAATTAAGTGAGCCCAGGTGTGGTGCTGCATGCCTTTAATCCCAGCACTTGGGAGGCAGAGGCAGGTGGATCTTTGTGAGATCAAGGCCAACCTGATCTATATAGTGAGGTCCAGGCCAGTTGGGGCTACAGGGAGACCCTGCCTAAAAAAAAAATCAAATGAGCGGCTGGATCGATGGCTCAGTGGTTAAGAGCACTGACTGCTCTTCCAGCGAACCTAGGTTCAGTTCCTAGCACCCACATGATGGCTCACAACTGCCTGAAACTCCAGTTTGAGTGGACCCAATGTCCTCTTCTGGCCTCAGCTGCATTGCATGCATGTTGTACACTTACATACAGGCAGGCAAAATATACACATAAAAAAATTAAAATTAAAAAAAAATTTTTTTTGAATTAGTTGAAATAGGTATTTCTTGAAACCCGGCGCCTTAGGCATGAGTTCTGCTGTGGATGGCTTGATGTGACACTTGGCTTATCCCTTTTTTTGTCTTTTTGAGACAGGGTCTCCTTGTAGCCCCAGCTGCCCTGGAACTCACTATGTAGACCAGGCTGGCCTCGAACTCACAAAGATCCGCCTGCCTCTGCCTCCCAAGTGCTGGGATTAAAGACGTGTGCCACCACACCAGGCTAAAATAAAATATTTTAAAACAAGTGAAATGATTGAAACACAGTTGTCAAACAGGTGTTTGTGAATACAAGAACTCTCAAAGGTGGCTCATGAAGAACTCAGATTTGGGGACATGGGGAGCCTGCCAGCATGAGAAGGAAGAGAGATTCCTCATGCTGGGGGTAAAGCTGGCTGTCAGGAGGACTGCACAGAGAAACCTAGAGTGGCGACCAGCTAGGTGCTCCCTAAATGTATTGCTGCATCTACACGCTCAATGACTTGCTGAGTCCTGTGAGAGCTGAGATCTCAGAACTCTAAAAGGAGTGGCCCTATCATGAAGGCTGGATGAAAGAACAAAGCTGAGGATAAGCACAAGGGTCCTACCACAGGCTAGCCCACTAGAGGACTGCATAGGGCCTCCGACTTTCCCTGGTCCCTGGGGTGGGGAGTTGCAGTGTTGTGAGTCCCTACCACTGGTTCTTCTGTGGGGTCAGAAAGGAAGCCTTTGTGGCCTGCACTCCACTGTGCCTGCACCTGGCTAGTGTTGAGTTCTGGGGTGACAGACACATACAGCTGAGTAACCTTGACCATGTCAAGATATATCTCTTGCTAGGCCTGGTGGTGCAAGCCTGTAATCCTAGCTACTTGGGGAAGCTGGGGTAGAAGGCCGACTTGGGCTACAGGATGGCAGGAAGAAAAGCGGGTAGAGAGAACCAAAGCGAAGGATGGGAAGGAGGGAGGAGAAAGAGGGAAGGAGGAAGTCACTCGTCTGCCAGGTGATTCTAATGTACCACCAACAAGGTTGGAAATCAACCCTTGAAATCTTGTGATGGGGGATGGAAAGATTTTAAGAACCAGAGGGAGGTGGGTGACCACAAGGAAACAGAGTTTTCCAGTCAGCTGGTCAGTTACTCATAGGAGCTCACAGCAATGGTGTCAGCATGCTCAAGTCCCATGTACACTCAAGCCATACAAAATCCCAGCATAGACACAGGGAAATGGGTAAGAAACCCCAACCCTGCCTGAGGGACTATTGACAACAGATGGCTGCTGGCTTATTTAAGGGTGAGACTCTTAGTAGGTTGACCAGGCTCTAGTGAATGAACCCACACCAAAGGGCATTTGGGGACATAAACCTGAGTCTGTAGGTTTTAATATAGATATAAATATAAGCATATATTTACATATATACTAGGGTACAGATATTTGGTGGGGGGTGCAGATACAGGAGGAGATCTAACTATAATCAAAATATAGTGTATGAAATTTTTAAAAAAATAAAAATAATTTAAAAGTCTATGGTGGACAAGGAACTTTTGTTTTGAGACAGGGTCTTGTTATGTAGCCCAGGCTAGGCTTCAAACTTGTAGCACTACCACATCAGCCCCTTTCTTTGATACAAGGTATCATATAGCCCAGGCTAGCCTCAAACTTGCTATGTAGCC